CCTTTGCTCCTAGTAGCTTCTTGCTCCCAGTAGCGATGCCCTTTGCTCCTAGTAGCTTCTTGCTCCTAGCTTGTTGGGGAGCGTGTCAGGTGCAATACATCAACTACGCATTAGCACGGATCATTCACAGCGGCGGCCAGATGACCGAGATTCTCCGTGCAGCTCTGGAGGACTTGGCCACAGACAAGACCCTTGATGTGGAGAAGTCTATTGATGCCAAAGAGTTTAATGAAGTTGGACTTGTTTGCAATGAACTTGAACTCGATACTGCCACCTTACTTTGGTGGCTTGTTTGCATCATCGAATGGCAGAGTGGACATCGAATCTTCCTCTCCTTCATGAGCGAGCTTCTACGCCGTACCGCTGACTTGCTGAATGAAGCGGACTCGACCTGTCGATCTTTGAAGACGCACATCACTGCGCTGCAAGCACAGATGCGAAGTGTCGATGACGAGGGAAACACTCCTGAAGTGTCGCCAGAAGCACGCCTCGCTGGACCTGTGGGAATTGCGGTGATTACTTCGGCTGCGGCTGCAGAGGCCCGGATTACAGCGGCCAAAGCCGTGCTCGAGGAGATTGCCCAAGTGAAGAAGGAAGCCGAGAAGCTGCAGGAAGCACAGAAGAATTCAACATCTTCTTTTTCTTGTCAGAATCTTTTCTTGCGTGCTTGCCATACTGATAGTGATCATTTGTCGATTCAAGACAAAGCACAAGAAGGATGAGAAGGTAAGGTTGCAGTAAGGGCCTCCTTAATAAAGCTCTTTAAAGAGACACTATACTAGCGAGGCCCTTACCTTTCTTTTGTTTAATATTTTTTAAATCTATTTGTTATTTCATCTTTTTGTCTTTTTAGTTCTAACCTTTGTTTAATCTTTATCTTCTTTGTCTTCTTGTTTGTCTTCTTTTTCTTCTAAAGAGGCCAATCTGCTGAAGAATAAGATCTCTTCGCCGGACACCATCGAAGCGGATGCCCAGGGCTTCCCAGACTTCAATCGAATCCGCTCATTGCTCCAAGAGGCAAAGTCAGAATCATTGCTCATCGCTACTAGTAACAAGTGCATCGCTAGTAGTAGCAAGTGCCTTACTAGTAGTAACAAGAAGCTAGTAGAAACAACAGTTAAATTAAATTACTACTAGTGAGGCACTTGTTCCTAGTAGCGATGCCCTTTGCTCCTAGTAGTAAGGCACTTGTTACTAGAAGCGATGCACTTATTACTAGAAGCATCATTTCTCTAAAATCAAGTAAAGAGATGAAGTCTCAAGTCTGGTTCCTAGTAGTAAAGCCAGGAGCCCCTAGTAGCGTCCTTGCTCCTAGTAGCGATGCCAGGAGCCCCTAGTAGGTTCTCAAGTCTTCTTGAAAAGTCTTAAATGTGTTTACTCATCTATTTTACTCCAAATTGTCAAACATGTTTCTCAAGTCTTTCCTCTTGATCCTCATGTCCTTCGATATGTGCCAATGTCAAGCGGTGCCAAGCGAAGTCAAGCCTCAGACAAACCCAACACATAAAGCAATGTCTGATTCACTCATTCATGACCTTGACCGTTTCTCGACCCAGGCACAGCCGAAGGCCCTGGAGGAGGCCAAGCATGCCGTCTTGGTGCGTAGCTCGGGTGCCGTCGGCGCTTCGGGCCGAGCGAGAGAGATCTACGGTGAGACCTACGCGGCGCTCGAGACGAAGCTTCTGCAGTTGCAGCTCAAGGGCCGCCAGGACAGACGAATTGACAGACGACAGCAGATGACAACAGTTTTTGTGCTGTCATCACTGCTGTTTCTTTAGCTCTTACTGTATTAAAAACAATGATTTATACATTATGTATTATATTTTGCAAAAAATACTTATCGTTTGGCATTTTTGTGAGTGCGAGGCAGTGGATGGTGAGATTGGCCTCGATGCATCACCCAAGAGCAGCTCCTGTGGTCCAGCGCCTCCGCTGGCCGATGCACAGATGCCCTTGGTCACCTACTCCGAGCAGGTCGAGAGCGTAGGCTCGGTCATATGACGGCAAGGTCTTTTTCATGAACAAAGTATTTAAACACTGTCCGACAAAGTATAGCAAAATCAACACGATTTTGTTTGCGTGTTAATAGAGAAAACAGCAGGTGCCAAGCGATTTGAAGCTCGTGACAGGATCCGTCCAAGACCATGCCTTTTTGCAGCTGCTGGGCATCCCAGAAGGAAACATGGCCACCTCACAAGCCGTGGACCGCTGCTTCTTGAAGGTGGAGGTCTACGATCGCTTCAGCCCCTCGAAGAAAAGACATGACCAAATGGCGAACGACACTTTTTCTGGTTGGAGGCCATCGCTAGTAGGTTAAGTGGGCGGCCAGCTAGCGCCTAGCTAGGATGCAGGGATAGCTCAAGCTTCCTTGAAGAAGCAATCGCACTATTCATTTGGTTCCCAGATTTTTAGGGAATCTTACTGTAGCTTTGATGAAGTAACAAAGGGCATCGCGGCATCGCTACTAGTAACAAGACCTATTCCTTGATTGGTTCACACTTGCTTAGATTGCGCTCTCAGTATGGTCTCCGGAAGTCACAGGATGTGGTCAGTAGTCAGTCAGTGGTTTAATGTATTTGGTGTGTTACCCTTCCTCGAGCCTTCTGTCTTGCAAAGAACAAAAGCACATCAACAAGGACCTTGAACAATCTTTCTAATCCGCTTCCAAACATGGGATACTTAGTTTTCTTAGTAGTAACAGGTGCCTTACTAGTAGTAACAAGAAGCTACGAACGTAACAAGTGTATCGCTTCTAGTAACAAGTGCCTTACTAGTAGTAACAAGTGCCACGCTAGTAGTAACAAGTTTTCTTCTCATCCCGAAGACTTAGTAACAAAGGGCATCGCTACTAGGAGCATTCTTACTAGTAGTAACAAGAAGACTTAGTTGCTCTCAATATCATTATTTTCCACTTGGTCTTCACCTCATCCTTGACTTCTGAGGTGAGAAGACGGGTGCCGTGGAGGACGTTCGTATTTCTAAGGGGAAGAAAAGCACACACTTTATTTCTTTTCCTTTTTTAAGGCAGTGGCCTCTAACCTACTTGCCCAACCTAGTAGCAAGGAAACTGTATTTCTTTCTTTTTTAAATCTTCATTGATGTTTGATTATTCTTTCGGAAGTGATGTTCAAAAACATTTGAAACCCAAGGCCTTGGTGTTGGTAGAGTCGGTAGAGCTGGTCGAACATGTTCATGCCGAAGGGCTTCGAGATGTGTTCTTTTTATTGAAACCTTTTTCTTAAGTAGCAGTGCAATGATGTTAGTCTTGTGACATCTACTTGTCACCTGGTACAGACTTGTAGTCTAGTCGCATCCAGTACATTCTCCAAGAAGTTATTGTTCTATTTGCATCCTTTCTTTGGGAAGGATGAGTTCGAACGCTTCTGCCGTTACGCAGTGAGCGATGCCCGGCAGCGCTGCGGGGGGCGGCGATTGGTGGCTGCGCTGAAACCGCTCTTGGTGGATCTGGTGAAGAGGAGGCGCTTTGGATGTGAAGAAACCTCCTAGTAGCGTCCTTGCTCCTAGTAGCGATGCCCTTTGCTCCTAG